TGACAAGCGAAGAACGTCAACTGAGTCTAGGCCTAATCAATGAGGGCCCTTCTTTGGCGACACTGATGAAGATCAATTTTTGCAGGGGCTAAAAACTTTCGAATGCTGGAGTGAGCTGGGTTGGTTTGGCCAGGCCTTAGTCCCCAACTTGAAGTTAGCGTCGAAAGCTGCAAGCTGCATCAACTGCCAGTTTCGTGGAAGTACAAGGCCGCGGCGGTGATGTGATCGCGCACTTCACCGTGCACAAACACTCCAACAACCTCGATAAATCCGCTAAAGATTCCATTACCTAACTTGAGGCACCCAAAATGCCTCGATGGATGGAAGAAAAAGGAAAAAAAAAAGCCAAGGTCCTTGAGAGGTAATCGACCACACCCGCATCATCCCTGTTCTCGCCTACAGAGTAGTGGGTTCTCCTTTTGCGTACATGAAGTTTCCGTTACCGCGTAGGAAATGGTACAAGTATTATCGTACAATCCATCGGGGGAGGTAGCGCTTCCACTAGCACCCTCCTCGCACACGTCCTCCCCATCCCCTAACGCGGGGGTCATGGAGAGAGGGGGAATAGCTATAAGAAATACACGCATGCTAGCCTAGTTGGAAATTCTTGGGTTGTTTGGCCCTGATATGTGCTCAACTCTGAGCAGATGCCCAGACCCAACCGAAGGGGTCCGGCTGACCAAATGACATGTATCTCTGCCAGTCTGGCGTAATGGAAATGGCTGCATGCTGGTGATAAAGTGGTGTGGGCCAAAAGCATACATGTAATACTGCATAGAGAAACACGGCGAGCGTGTCCCCCCTTAAGCCAGGCATCAAAGCCATCATTAGGCTGTCCTCCGCGCAAGTCTTTCCCAGTCTTGCCTTTTGACCTTCAAAAGGTCAGGGGAGGGTGGCTTTGCTCCCCTGGCCACTTTTCTTTTTCCCTCTGTTTCCGACGCTGTGCAGCCCACTTATAATGTTTCGCTGTCTCGCATCCCCCACATGCGTGCCGCACGCTCAGCTGAGTCGTTGCGCGTGTGAACCCGCCGGAGACAGACACGACCAAGGGTGGAGATGATGTGGCTCAAATAAAAATAAAAATCAACAAGAGTCACTTTGAGCAACCTCAACCTTTGAAGAATTTGGTGATATCCCATGATGATGTGACGGCGGTATTGGCGAGGTATGGGTGATGGCACCACAGTTCCATCGCGATTCTTTACACGTGCTATATTCTTGCTCATGATTTTCTACACCTTTTGTGGTTGTCGAGGTTTCTCCCCGGGCGCCCCATCGGAGCAGCGCACTCCGACTCACGGCACGGACGGACGAGCTCAGACACGGACATGCTTGATGCACCCCCATTTGTGTCCCCGCACTTCATGATAGGTCATGCACACACACCGAACAGCAACGAAGGGAGAAGGATAAACAAGAATTCTCACGCACTGGAAGGTGTGTCAAGGTTAACATCACACTTTGGTACGCAAAACGAAAGGAATACAGGAAGCACTCATGGGCCCTCTACCGCGCCCGCCAAATGTCTTTTTGCATTCATCAAATTAGCGTGTGTGCTTTTGGATCGGACTTTTCTGGCCCTGAGGAAACTACAATGAAGGCCCTGAGTTTAGTTCCAGATGTAGTCGACACTTTGTGATAGAGGCTTTGCGTTCTGACAACCTGATCATATTTTAGCGTGCTCTCCTCTAAAAAGCTCAAGGGAGAAAGAAGGGGTCCCGATTAGCCTTTCACAACGAACCTAGTGTAGGGGAATCTTGCCGTCCACAAGCGAGCAAGGGCGCGTTGAGAAGAGGGGGGCTAAGTTTCTGCCAAGCTGTTGCTTCATTGGACCTTTGCAGCCTCTGATGGAATTATTGCTTCTCGAGTAGATGATACCAGCGCGTGTTGTTATGTGCGGCGCTGGGGCTGAAATGTGCATTCTCTACGAGGCGTGGGGTGAAATACAAGCCTTAGGAGAGGGGGCGGGTTCTCTTTTTCTCTTTCTTTCTTCTTCCCGCTTTATTCTTGGCGTGCTTTTGATACTACGGGGAACAACCAAGACTTGACCGTTGGCGGTCGGCGGTGAAGGTGAAGGTTGGATCTTGGTGCTAAACAGTTGACATGATCGGGCCATTATAGAAGAACATAATCTATAGACCGATTATATTGAACAGCGCAAAGCCTCCCCAGAATGACATGCAGGCTCCGGCCCATCCGAGAAATGCCTGGTCCGTTGTTCAAGATTTAGCACCTGTTTCATCGTCCGCCAATCCATGGCTATTGTGACATCCAGACTCAGTTCTTCTTTTTTTTGGCCCGTGCTCTCTGCACTCGTCACTTTAATGATCATGGAGAGGGGAGGGGTGTAGGCTAGAGCAAAACTGCTGAACCCGTCAACCACACTCGCAGAGTCGACATAGTTCCGGCCGCAGTTCGCTCACCATGCCGATGTCAACAGATCAATGCAGGTGCGACGTGTCGGAGGGTGAGTTGAGCTACCTTGGCTACGTAGCGTTCGCTCAACGTTCTCGCCCCTGCTGCCCGCAAAATTCTTGGGTGATTCTCGCTTCAATTGATGGGCGGATGAGGTGGACTGATGGAGGCCGCCGTTGAGGCGGCGATGAGGGCGGCCCCACCGCCGGAGAAACATGTGCAGCATTTGCAGAGCGCAATGGCACCAGCTGCGCATTCCCTTTGCCTTTCAACCCCATCCTTACGGTGCCTGCATGCAAATGGACCTGGTCGGCTTATACAGGCAGACGTCAAAGGAATGAATGGTGGTCCCATTCTTTTCACCCCCATAAGTTCGTACTTGCTGTGACAATTGGCTTTACCTGCCCTCTGCCTGTACACCATAGCTGGCTTGCGTGTCAGAGGCTGAGCTGCGGGCTTTCATTGATCCAGTTTTACCATGTACACGGCCGTTAAGTCTCACACACCTCTTTGTTTTCCGCGCGAACAAGAGGCGTCTGATAATTCAGCCTTTTAACCTTATCTCCTACATTCATAGATGATGGCTCGAGATAAACCAAGTCATGGCGTGCCGGAGATGGGAGAATATGTGAGCTCTATTAAGGTCGTGTGCTCTCGGTCCCCTCACCAACCATTTCCTAGCACTCGCCATTTGCTGGATTGTGCATCCAGCCCCGCTGGAAAAATGCGATGGCCGTATTATTATAAGTGATGGTGATAATGTTGTTGAGAAAGATTCCATGGCCGGATTTGGCCAAAGAAGGATCCACTTCCTTCCTCTGACGATTTTTTTTTGGGTTGGTCAATGATGCGACAACTCCTCATTTTTGGGTGCCCGCCACCGCCCTTTCCAAGGGATGGCAGGGCGGACGAACCGACATCCGTTGTCCAGACTCCGCCGATTATTTGCACGGCAAGCCCTTGACTCCCTTTCTGCTTTCTCTCTCAGGCCCGACTCGTCAGCTCCTTCATTCTCGCTTATCTTCAAACAAATCCTGGGCTCCACTGACACCAGTGCAAAGCAGAGCGGTGGGGTCTCAAATGAAAAAAAAAAAAAAAAAGTGCCTTGGAGAGTTAAATGTTCATGGCACGGTTTCGGACTCGACTTGTTCGCCCTGCTCGCCCCGTTCGCCCTCTCGTGCCTGTCCTCATTATTAGAATTTGGCTGGAACCCACTTTGGCACGAGGAATCAATGGTTGAGGTTTGTGTGGCTGGCCATGGTCGCCGAAAGCTGGACTAGGCCTGCTGATCCTTGAGTGCGCATTGTATTCATCACAATTGATCCTACACGGGGGTCGAGGAATAGAGGCGGAGCCAGAGGATCATTTGGAATTTATCCTGGGATAATCCAGTGAATTGGAGACGCCTCGTGTCAGCAGGCTTACTTGTAAGAAAGCGCAGCCTCCTTTTGGCTTTGCTTTTGAGGTGCGACTGTTCAGGGTGTCGCACTGGCTGAGGCACGTATTTCGTTATCTTTCGCACATTGCGCCTGCTAAGTTCCTATCTCCCGTCACCTCTCACGTTCAAACCCCACGCTAAAGCAGGGTAGACCAGGCCACCAAATCATTAATATGGAGCAGATGCTTAGAAGGGGACAAATCGTTGAAGCGAGCAAACGGGAGACGAACATCGAAAGAGCGCGCGTAGGAGACTGGAAAAAAGGGAGGCTTACTATGGCTCCACTCCCCAAAAATCTCCTTTTGCAGAATGGATATCCTGAGAAACTCTGATGAGAATGTTCAAATGTTGCCTTCCTTGGGAGAACTTACTTTCTTTCCATTAGTGGAGCCTTCGGAATACCATATCATGACACACACAAGCACGCTTGAGGAAAAAGGCACGCCTTCGACCATGAGCAAAGGCCCATGGGCAAGACAGGCACACACCCCACCTCTATCCTTCGTCGTATCTTCCTTTTCCGGCCGCGAACCCCCACTCCCCACTTCCACCCCTCCCTTCTAAAGTCACCCCTTCCTCGTCACAATGCCCCCACTTCCCACACACCCGGCCACCATCATCACTGGCTTTCAGTGCCGTACTTGCGACTTGGGCGATACCACTTCCCATCCACGTCAACCCATCTCTTGTTTGGCTTTTTCTCAGCCGGCGGCCTGTTAGTGATCTCGTACCGGGCCCCGCTAGCTCGGTACTGCAAACCCTGGGCGAGGACCTGGCGGGCTATCACTAGCATCACTCAGTCCCAGTATCCGCGCGACCCACTTTTGGCTTCGACAACAGGGTACAGACGCTAGTCCAACCCAGCCTGCGCCCGCCCTGCAGTCTTTGTCCTTCCAAGTGCGAATGTATACTTTACGATACCGCCTTCTTTTCCCTTAATCGGAGGCCAAGAAGGAACGGGTGTGTGCCGTACGGGAGTCGACGCAAGCAGGAGTCAAATATGAATGCCCACCCTTCCCATCCCGTCACTCCTTCCTCTCGGTCGACCTTTACTTAGTCTCGATCTTCCCTTGGACTTTTCAACACTTTTCTATCTTGGATATTTTTACTCGACAACTAAAATCAACTGTACTTACATGTCGACAACATGTGGCCCTTAACATCTCTATCGTCCCGTATGAGTGGACGTAGTGCCATCACACTATTCGAAGTCCGGTACGTCTAGCAATCCTCTTGTCCTATCCAATGCCCGGCTCCGACTTTATGCCACGAGAAACATTGGAGGCGCGCCTGGCATCTAGCTTCTATGAACTAACCCTTTATCCTCTCGCAGTCTTGACAATGACTTCATTGTATTCCGCGGCAGTGGGCACGAATCCGCCGGCCAGCTCTTGAAGGGCCAGGTCGTCCTCTGTCTCTCGGCTCCCTTCAAACTAGACGAGCTACACCTGCGTCTTACAGGGACGTTAAGATTATCGTACGCAGTTCTGACTCTAACAATGACTTGGCTTATACACGAGTACACTAACACGACATGGTAACAGATGGACGCAAGCGAAGATGACGGCGAGCGGTGTCTCCCAACAGAAAATCGATAGGACGGAACACATACTTCAAAACCGCTGGCAACCTTTCGTCGGAGGGGAGGGGAAGAGCGTGGTTTTGCAGCCGGGCAACTACGAGTTTCCATTCGAATACATGCTCCCCGGTGACACAGCCGAAACCCTCGAGGGAATCCCCGAAGCGTCTATTTCCTACAGGTTAAAAGCGAGGATAATACGACACAGACTTGCGAGCGACGTCCACACTTACAAGCACCTCCGAGTTATCCGAACCCTCGAACCTTCTGCCCTCGAATTCCTCCACGCTATGAGTGTTGAGAACATCTGGCCCAATAAGATTGACTACTCACTCATCATTCCACAGAAAGCCGTTGTGTTTGGAGGATCGGTACCGATACAGATGCGATTTACCCCCTTGCTAAAAGGGCTAGAGTTGGGGAGCATTACGGCCAGGCTGATTGAATGCAGGGAGTGCGTGGCCCAAGGCCCCTCGCTTGGAAAGCCCAAGGAGTTCAAGAGCGAGAGGAAGTCAGCCTCTGGAAATTCGATGTCGACAGGCAACATTGGCAGGACACTATTGGCGAGACAGGCCAGGAGGGCTGGGTCTTGGAAAAGAAACTTGATCTCCCCAAGAGGCTCCGCCAGTGTGTCCAAGATGTCAACCAACACGGCATCAAAGTCCGCCACAAGATCAGACTCGTTGTGGCGCTCAAGAATCCCGACGGCCACGTCTCCGAACTCCGGGCTACCCTCCCCGTTTCCATCTTTATCTCTCCCAACATTCCCCTCGACGAGGAGGGTAACCTAGTCATGCAATCACCCGACGATACGGTGCCTCCCCTCGCCGACCCCGATACCATTGCGCCCCCGGCTACGGTCAACATATCCTCGACCGGCTCTATGCTGATGTTCTCTTTGGCGGCTTCCAGACTCCCGAAAACCACTCTGGGGCCAATAGCCCTTACTATCAGCCTTCCGCTGCGGTGTCCTCGGAAAACCTGGCGCCTGAGGCGCATACAAGGCCTGACCACACCATCGCCGAGGCGCTCGCTACTCGGCTTCAGTCCGTTTCTGGTGCGGATTCGCGACGCAACTCTACGCTCTCCACCATTAGCGAGCCGCGCGAAGAAATATCTCGACTTCCAAGTGCCGACCACAACACCTTGTCTGGCCGCACGTCGCCTGAACATCGCGACGAGACAATTTTGGAAGAGCTGAACAAGGTCCCAAGCTACGCTACAGCTGTGCGGACTCCTGCAAGGCCCCGGTCCTACATCGGTGGACCTTCGGCGCTACCCATGTACGAAGATCTCGAAATGGAACATGAGGAAACAGGCGCAGAGGAAACACAGCACGCTCCCAGTCACGATGGTGAATTGTTGAGCGAGGCAAATTCCCCGTTATGACACCCGTTACCACCTTTCGGAGTTCCAGGTCTGAGTCGCTGAGCAGCCAGGTCGGCCAGCGACCCCAGACTAGTGCCGGTGACAACCTCCAGCAGAGGCCTCGCACCGCGCGCCCACGGCCCCTTTCTGGCTTGTCAGAGAGCCTCTTGGACCGACTTTCGAACCACTCATACGGTTATTACGGATACGGCCTTGACCCCCGACCTTACCAGGGAGCGCGGCCCACCATGCAGTGCATGTGATGGAGCCTACATCGGGTTTCCGTGTTTTGCGCCCTCCGCCTCCCCACCATATTCCCTTCAAAGGGTTTTTTGTTCTCCTTCTTTTATCTCCCCTCATTTCCAACGTAGAGGGGCTTTCGTTATTCTCGACATATACCAGCATATGGCCATGACATCTACTGGCACAGGCGTTTCCCTTTTATTTCTTCTCTTTTTATTTTATTTCTTTTGTTCTTTTAACCACGTTCTTGCTTCAAGTTCATTTCAAAGAATGGACTTTGTTATTCGCAGCATTTATAGAGAACCATGGATTCTTACAACGCTTCTACGACCCCGAGGAAAAGTGAGGCATCTCGCTAGGGGTTGCCTCGACTACTATCATGGATTTTTCCCATTTGTTCTTTTTTTTTTTTTCACTGCAGGCGCATGGGCACATGAAGACCTACCCTAGGATATCTTCCCATCTGTTTTGACTCAATTGGGCACGGCGGTTTCGGATAAGAAAAATGTTTTGCTTTATACCCAGGGAAGACCACGAGCGCAGGGCGACGGCGTGGTGTGCGGATCGAGTCACAGGACTGAAATGGATCGAAGATGGAGATTCTCATGTCTACATGTAGGAGAAGGAGCAGATATGGGCTTGTACGTTGCATGGCTTTTCAACTGTACCAAGCTGTAGATATTACAATATTACTTTCTTCAACATGATGAATTTGTGCATTGTACCAAATACTCAAGAAGACATGGCCAGAAGAAATAGGGGGTGGAGGCCAAGTCCTCATTGCTGCTTGCTGGCAAAGAGAATATAACAAAGATACCCACATCCTGTATGCACGATAGATTGCGGCATGGGCCGGCTTACCAAGACCAGCCGTTTGTGGATGGCCATCAGTGGTTGTTTCGAGATCTGGGGTGGACGGCAGGGTGTTTTCCGAATTGTTCGCCTCGGCCTGTGCCTTGGATTACCAAGACCCCTCCCAGAAGAACGAAAAGACGCTCACGAGAACACATCCACAGATCTTAGCCCTGCAGATCAATATACCGATGGCGGCCAAGCATGGAACTGGTGCTTCGGTAAGCAGAAATTTGGCGCTACCGGGGAAGTGTCGAGCGAGGGGCCTGTAAGATGCGCTAGGACAAAGGGGAATTGGAGGGATGCAAGGAGCAAGAGGGGAGCGGACAAAAGCATCAATGATGGAGAACCGGCGATACCCTCCTGAACAGACCCGCTTCGTCCTCTTTTTTTTTTTTTTTTTTTGACCCTCTTCCTCTCGCGCTCGTCCCTAGTGAAACGAGAGTGCCGAGGTGTTGTTTCCTTGCTTCATGAGATTGCACGGGTTCTAGACGTGGGTGAGTGTTTAGCCAAGATCTCTTGCGCGAGGTTGGCGCAATGATGCTGTACATGATTTCTTCAAAGGGGGCAGGCAAAATATATTTCAACGTCAACCCGTGCATCTGCTTGCTACCATGGTAGCACACTTTCCCTCGTGCCTTTGGTTCGATTTGAGCTGTGTCTCTCACGATGCTTCGGAACTTTCGTACTCGCATTGATGGCTGTAGAACTTTTTTTTTCTTTCTTTCTCTCTTCTGGTTTCGTCAATGCCCCCTCCTCTTCGTTCCGGACACATCCTGCAGGTTGTTTCCAACATGGCGCTTTTCCGAAAAGAGGAAAGGGGGATTGTACGCCCTTGTGGTTGAAGAACCCGTGGTGGACTCTTGGACTCTGTTGCAGCGGGGAGAAGCAAGGAATCGATCCATCCACCTCCCCCGCATCGTGCTTGAGTGCACGCTCACAGGCTCGGTTGTTGACATCCACGGATCAGCGAAGTGAAGTGGTCTCCGCTTCACAAGCCCGCGGAAGTCCTTTTGGAGGGGGGCTAAGAGTATCATCCTAGGGCCGAGGCGGGCGAATTGGAGGGGGTGGTAAACATCTAGATGTAGAGCAATGGTGGCATTGGCAGGGCCACTGTACCATTGAGGGATTGGGAAGGGTTCAAGGGTAGTCTGTATTCAATTGATAATTGACCTCTTCCTCTATGGCAATTTTTTTATTTTTATTTTTCCATTAGTGAGGTTCGGGAAGAGGAAAGCAAAGGACACAGAACGCCGCCTAGCGCGATGGAGTGCGAGCCTCGGGGGTTGACGTCATGGCGGTGGGACAGTTGTCATTTGCTGTTCTCAACGGCACGCATACATAATACCGCTTTGGGGTGTTTCGGATCGTGTGGGCGAGTGTGGACGTGAGAGTGTGTGTGGGCGTGTGTACGTGCGTGCCTGTATGAGCGCACTATGTGTGTGTGCGGACGATGGAGACGGTGTGTGTGAGTGGGAACACGAGCGGGAAAATGGTGACACGGAGGACAAGAGTCGATCAGTTGGCCAAGCGGATCGATTCAGTACACAGATAGATCCATCAATTGGCTCCATCCGTTGTATGGATCCATTCACCATTGTAGCCTCGAGAAAACAATGTGGATTTGTGATCGGGCGGGCAACAACAAAAGTGGGTTTCGTCCTCTATTGTTTCGAAAACAACATATCGATGCATATTCCGGCTTTTGCTTCGGTGTCCAGATTCACGATTTCCTTCCTTTTTCTGGCTCTTCAACCTTTATTTTTGTCCTTCGTATGTATGTCGCTGGTTGCACATGGTTGATGTCACAAGCGATGGCCAACCTTGGCACCACGTCCAAGAGACTTTAGAAGACGAGCAAGGTCGTTGAGTTCTAGGTTGGTTGGGGACCTGTCGATCCCTCACCACTTGGGATTGGAAGATGGGAGGGAACAAAACAAAATCACAAGAAGAAAAACAGAAGGGGATTTTGGAGGTCCAGAGAGTTTGCGTTCGTTGAAGACGCCATTGGCCCAGTTGCCCGGTGGAGGGTGTCTGAACGTAGATGGCGCCTCTGAATCGAGGCTAACGCCTGTCAATCGAGGATCGCACCACCGGAGTCAGGCAACCAAAGCGCTTGTATTCGCCATCAACAAAGGAACAAGGTATCGTCAGATTCACAAGAAATTTCCGACGATGCCACAGGCCGTCGTCCAACCCACCAAAAGGGTTCGGTGCGGGTGGCTGCATCACTTTTCCCTCATACCCATCGCCTCTGTCCGTGGCGGGGAGCGGGCCAGATACACTCGACTACGGAGGGCCAATCTGGGCTGTTCCGTTCTTCCACCTGCGGGATCGTCACAGGGGTTATTGGGCGCTCGTCCAGCTTGACAAGGGGGAAAGATTGAACGCCGAAGGGTGGGTTGCAGGGGGAGCCCTTGGAGGGGATGGAGGGGGCCAAGGATTTGCCAGCGATGAAGTCATTCTGTGCTCGCCTGAGTCTCCTGGCCTTGCACGCTTTCGAGACTTTCAATAATCTTAGCGGCCCCCATCTCGCTCCTCACTAGCGCAGCCATCAACGTGTAGTCATTGAACGTTTTGGCTTGTTGGCACCTCTTTAGCCACATTGGGGGTTGATGTGTCCAGCACAGCCCGCCCCCTCCAGCATCCATCATAGAACAAGGTTTCCAGCCTCAATCGCCCATGACCATGAATGACTCTGCCGTGCTCGGTTGCTTGAAGCCAAGCGTTGATGGGACGATTGCGAGACATTGATGTTGGATCGAGACGGGGGAGGGGGCGCAAGAACATTGAGCTGTGCCAGTCCAGATGGAATGGGTTGGGGTTTTCCGCCAGATAAGGTGGGCGGGCCTCAAGCTCCGGTCCTCAACGGTGAACCCGACATCCGAGCATTGCATTGATGCCTGTTGAAGCCGATCATTGGCTCAGTTGGCCAGCTCAAGCCACAGATGCTGCGAGGTTTCTGGCTGCCCTCCCATTTTCCCCCTCTTCTTCGCCGTTCGATTGTGGTCCCCACCACCACACCACATGCAAAATGGGAGGCCCATTTCATTCTTCCCTGTCCCTTGCCAGCTCGACGTCATTTCTTTCTCAGGGTCCGGAGGAAGCTATATCGACGACGACCCTTCGTTCTCTTCATCTTTCTTAGAATCCTTCCAACTACTACCTCTTGCGCATCCGTAAATGGTCAAAAACCACCAAGAATTCGACATCTATTCCCCGAATCGAAGCGGCGTTACACCAACCCACCTCTGCAAGGAGCTCTTCTTTCTCTCCCCCACCCCGACCCTTGCTGCATCACTCATCTGAAGTTTGAACTGCGGGGCAGCTTGCTACAACTTGCATTTCGTGATTCACCGCATTTAATCGCTCTTGACACACTTCCATCTTTTCATCGATCCCACAAATTCCCCTGAATACCGTCCTGATTAAAGCCTGACGCACTTGTAAAGTTTAATTTTTTTCCTGGGACAAGCACGCGCCCGAATCAAATAGACGCGGGGCCGTCAATAACCTCAATAAACCGAAACAACCTCTCTCCCATTGAGAAACCTCTCGACCACCCATTCCACCATGAGCGCACCTTCCTCGGAGCTCCCTCGCGGGCCACCACTGGCATGAGCGCCTTCAGCGAGGAGGCCGTTCCTGAATTCGATCCCTTGACGGTATGTCCCCCTGACCAGGGCTCAATCGTGTCCAAATCTAGTGCCTATGTTACAGTATGACGGTCAACAGTTTGCTTGTCAAAGGAACCCCAGAAGGAAAGATAAAAAAGAACAAGTAAACGAGCAAACTGGTCATCTTCAACAATCTATCGCTTACCAGCAAAGTGATCCGTTGCCACACAAACAATATGTTGCTAACCTCGCCGCGCCAGACTGCCGGACTTCTCTCCGAACGGTTACAAGCATGGAAACACGCGGTCGGGTACCTAGAAGACTACGTGAGTGCTGTGGAGAAGATCCACAAGGCTCACGCGAAAGAATACGAGAGGGCGCTCAAGGTATGTATACAACAATACGCAAGGTTCCTTTCCTTTTCCTTTGGTGCCCGATGGGCTTCGGCGAGACAGGAATGGTTGCGTGTGCTAACCATTTGACCGTCAAACCTTTGTCCCTCTCTAGACCATATCAAATCCTCTGAAGGAGGGGCATCATTTTGACCAGAGCCTCGGGGTATCGCTGGATTCTTCGAGAACCTGCGCCACAACACGCAAGCCATCATCAACACCAACCTCGAGACGGAGAAGGCTCTCAAGGGCAACGTCCTCCCCGTCCTCGAGCGCTTGCACAAGGAGATTAAGCACAAGGCTAAAGAACTCGCAAGCGGCGCTGCCAAAGGTGCCAAGGAAGTGGAAAAGGCCCGAAATAACACCCAGAAGCACATTGAGCTTCTCGGCCAGCAAACCGCCTCGTACGAGTCCGCGGGTGGTAAGATTAGTGCTCACGATGATCCCTACGTTATCAGGAAGGGCGTCGTACACCGATTGCAGAAGCAGGTCCTCGAGGAGAATGCCCATAGGGGTGACCTTATCGCGGTCCAGAATAACTTTGAGGAATTTGAGATCCACACCATCCAAGTTCTGCAAGGCGTGATGGAATCTTTCACGCAGCTTGCGGGCGGCCAGGGCGAAAAGGTTCGCGCCCTACATTCCGACATGCTGGGGGCTATCCAGAGGGTGCCTCCCGAGTTTGAGTGGCTGAAGTTCGTCACGCGGAGCGGCGAGCTCCTGGTAGACCCCAATGAAGCGCCTCGTGTGGTGGACTCTATCACGTTCCCTAACATGGATCACTCGTCCACCAAGCCGCTCATTGAGGGCTCGCTGGAGAGGAAGTCACGCAACAAGCTATCGTGGGGATACCAGACTGGCTACTACGTGATCTCGCCCGCCAAGTTTCTGCATGAATTCAAAGATGTAGACACGAACCGCCACGAGCCCAAGCCCGAACTGAGCGTGTTCCTGCCCGGCGCCCTCATCGGCTCCCCGTGGGAGACAAGTTTAGCGTCAAGGGCAAGGATACAAGCAAGACATTCAGCAGCAAGTTGTCTGGATCTTCGGAGCTCTCGTTCAAGGCGCACACGGCAGCCGACGCTGAGAGATGGTATCGCATCATTAAAGAGGTTGCAGACTCGGCAACTCCGATGTCTCCCACCTCGCCCGTCTCTCCCTTGTCCCCTCCATCGCCAGTTGTTGAAGCGCCCGCGCCCATTTCTGCTGCACCTGCTGCTAAACCTGCTGTTGCTGCGGCCGGTGCTGTTGCCCCTCGGAGGAGAAGTTGGAGATGAATGAGGCAAAACCAATTGCAACTTCAGATGAACATGCCCCGCAGCAGAGCGGGGTATCTCCCGTCGCTGCCCCTGTCGCTGCTCCTGCTGCCGCCCCGGCAGCGCCTGCCGTAACTAAGACAGACAAGGTGGCTGCGCAGGTGTCATGAAGAAAGAGCGATGATGTCACTCGGTGAGGCGTAAGTTGATAGCATATTAGCACCGGATGGGGAGGGGCAGGGGAAGAGGAAGAGCCCCTCTCCGGAACTCGGTTGACCGCCGGGCAACTCCGTAGGTATAAAGGAAATGGGAAGAAGAGGGGCATTTGTTAGCCCTTTGTGAAGGAATTGGGTGGAAGGATGGGGAAGACTCATATGTGGCGGCGACTAAGATGACCTGGCGCTGAGCCTAACTCTAAGTATGAGGGGTAACGACGGGTTGCGGACCGTATCCGTCTTCCTTACTTTTTTCTCTTTTTTATTTTTGTTTTCCCTTTCTTTTCTCTCCGCCCTCGATATCTCAAAGAGTCATCTATCGTTCATGTCCTGTTAGATTGCTTCAATAATCCCATGTCTACCTAGACGTTTTTCTCGCTATTTAACTGGAAGCCTTGCCAAGTAGATGCAGATATGATCCCGCCCAACCGATTTACGGCGTGTTGGCACCTACACCGACTCTAAGCCTTCGTTCGAGTCCTCGAGGGTGTCTTTTTTTTTTCTTTTACCGCTCTGTTGATGTGGTGTGCCTCGGATCGGGTTCGTTGGGCAACATTCATCATTCATGTTGTGAACGGATCCACAATTGATTGGTGTTGTCGTCGGTCATTGCCCCGGCGCTCGGCCGCCTTTACTGGCCACTGTAAGAGGCTGAGGGCCTCTTGGCCTGACCACTGTGTCGACCGCTGTCGTTTGACGTGCGACCTCACAACAATCAACATTGAGCTGGGCTAGAGAAACAGGCGATGGCGTTGCTCTGAGAATTTTCTGGCTTTGGGGCTCCGCGGTTCCCCCTGAATTAGCTCCACTCGTTGACGAGATAGTATGCTGAGATCCATGGATCAGTTCAGTATTGCAAGTGTGCATCTACCAGTGGTCGTTGTTCAAGCCAGGCACACCTCGCTTTGCTCCCGGCAGGTTAGGAACCCAAGGGGCCGAGAAGGCGGAAAGGCTACATCCATAGACGGTGTACGGATGGACCAGAATCGTGCCTGACATTGAGAACCTTGAACCCCCTAGATGACCCTGTGACCGGTCAAGGTAAGGTAAGCCTGAGGCAGGTGCGACCAAGGCACAAAGTTGACAATTCTCGAAGTCTAAGTTGGGCAGGAAAAGGGAGGGGGTTAGGCCCCTAACATCAATCTCAACCGACTTAGACGGAGAATACATGTGCCGAGGTGGGAGGGACGCAGGGGATGCAAGTACCATCATCCGTGACTGCCAAACGCGCGTGTGGGTGTGCCCTCCGCTCCCGCACCCCACCCGCACCCCACCCGCACCCCACCGATGTCCACGGTCGAGCGAGGGCAGCAATAGAGAGCAGCGAGGGTTGGGAGCCGGTGAAAAGAGAAGAAACTAGAAACGAATTTCCAGAATATTTTTATGCTGGCTTGAGGTACCGAAACTTTTTTATTTTACTTTGGAGGGGGCTCTCCACCGCCTTTTCCCACCAATGCTATGTACTTGATCTGATCTTCCACGGAGCGCTGGCCGAGAGGGCTGTCGAGTACATCCATCTCGGGGGCGTGCGCGCTCGACATCGGGGGCGGGGGCCGCCACGCGACGTTCTCTAAGTCTCGCTCGTGTAACACCCTCCCTCAGCTTTTACACCCTGCAAGTTCAACTTCAAACCCAAGTCGCGGAACTGGAACCCGTCTTCAATAAGGAGCCTGAATAAGCCAAGAGTCGTCGATGGTCTCGTTGTTTGTGCTAGTATAATCGGGTGAAAATCAAGGAAAAAGGCAGATCAATCCTCGTCTTGGAGTTGAAAACACTCGACACGGCACAAAAAGCATGGCACCCTTGCCTCCCACCCCCGTCCCCTGTACCGTCTCTCCTCCTTCGCTTGCTCGCCTTTTGTAATTCCTTACTCCTTCCCTTTATGACCCCGGCGGCGTCGCGTTAGAAAGCCCGAGGAGAACGGGAGGGGTGGAGGAGGATGGGGGAGGGGTTTCAAGAAACACCTCGAGCATGGCCACGCGCCTAGACCTGCTCTCTTTGAGATGGCGCCAATCCTGCTCCGTTTCTAACCCAACCTTCGGTATGCTCGCCGTCCTTCAATGCAGGTTTCGACTGGGACGGTGACTGGATCTTTGATCACTGGGCGGGACAGGAGCTCCATCCATCTAGAGGTGTACCGTCACTTCCAGCATGAGGGGGCATAGCTACTGTTTCTGCTTGGGTCTCAACCCACGTGGACTTCGTTGTTATCTGGGGGTCTCGTCGCTCCTGACCGACAGCAGCCAGCCAACGCTTTGTCGGGCTGGTTGATGCCCTGCGGGATAGTTAGGTGATGAGAAAGAAATGGCGAGGGTGCTGAGACTGTTGTTCGGAGGGCTGGTCTGCGCTTGCACGCTACTTCTGCCCTCGAAGCCCGAAGGAACTAGGGGTCACTGAAAAACAGAGCACAGCCCCTCGCAGGCGCTCGCACTCGCATGTTGATGTATCAAGGTACTCGCCATTGCGAAGGTTGGCCGTTTTCTCGGCCACCGATGTCTGCCCTGCGTTACGTCCAGCACAACCACGCCCCCCAATCCAGCATCATCGGCCTTGCTCCAAAGTAAAGATCGGAGTGGAAGTGGGAAGAATAAGAAACGATCTAGGTGAAAAGTAAAGGGGCGGAGGAGAAAAAGATCAGAACAAGGGTCAACTTCGTGGGCCGTCAAGAATAGAATCCAGAGTAAGGTTGGCGAGATGAACCCAACTCTCACTTACAGCAAAGGCTGCAAAACACAGCTTTGGTGTCCAAGCATGTGATAATATAGATTATAGATAGATCCATACTAGATGGATGGATCCATATTTAACCTTGATTTCCTTTTAGGAGGGACCCTGGACGGGACCTGGGAACACTCAGCCTTACACGCCTCTCAGTCGGTGACGTAGGGACAACAACACACACACACACACACACACGTATAGCCATCTCTGTCTCCAGTGTGCGAAATGCGAGTACTTGAAGGATTGGCAAGGGGCCTAGAGATATGCACCATTTGCCGTAGCCAGCAGGACATCGTCACCCTGTGACCTTTCTATAAGCCTCCCGTCCGAACCTTCGTGTACCTGGCATCCGTAAAGCTCTTGGTCGGGCAGGCGAGGCTTCGGGTATAAGTTGTCGTGAGTTTTTGTTCGGGAGAAGAGAAAAAAAGAAAAGAAAGAGAAAAGAAGAAAGGGTACAAGGAGGGGAGTGACGATACTAAACGTGATGGGCGGCGGGCTTTGGACTTGCAACGTAAAAAAAGATGGGGGAGTGGGCGTTGTACAGCACACGCATTCGTTCCCTTGGCCGATACATAATAACCAGGCTCTGGAAAGACAAAGATCCATCCTCCATGGTTAGGTTGCGGTCGATGTTAGTCGCCTTGTTTCTGTATATAAAGTCTCGCTCGCTTGCCATATTTCACCGCTCATGCCTTGATCGTTCGGAACCACACTCAGGCGTCTCTCCCATTTCTTTTTGGATTTATCCAAGCTCGTCCGGAAGGGCCGAAGGCATACACCCTCACGTTTTCAACCAGTCGTTCCTTTGCTCTTGCTTCCACCCTTGCTCCTTTTCTCCTCCCCTTGCTTTCTTACACTCCTTTCTTGACCCGTTTCTTCTACAACCCACCCAACTCTTATTGGAAGCACCCGCATCTGCTTTCAAAAGACAAAAAAGAAACGCCCCCTGCGTAGTAACCGAGGCGGCTCTGTCCACGATCTCGGCAGACCATCGCGCCGCCCACCCCCTCGAGTCTCCACCGTGGGCGCAGGAACCTCGCATCATGCCAGACGATTGGGAGCGGTTGAAGCCCACAATCATCCAATACTACTATGAAGGCACTTGCAAGGAGATGCGCAAGCGCATGAAGCGCGAGCATGGGTTCGAAAATCGTATGCGCCTTCCCTAGCCTATCCCGTTCCCTTTCCCGCCCCCTACTTTTTTATTCCCGTGCCCCACCTTCCGCGTTTTCTGTGGCCCGGAGCCCGCCATCCGGGGCCGGGCTCCACGGCGCCATCGGTTTTTGTTTCTTCTTTTTTGGCACTCCTCGCGTGTGCTTGTACCTCCCTTTTTTTTTTTTGCTGCGTTGCTTCGGGTTTCTAACATGCCACCCCCTCCCCTCGTTTTCCTGCGTTACACAGAATTCGAAGTTACCGTGCCCATCTCAAGAGCTGGGACGTTCGCAAGTACCGCAAGCACCCGAAACTCGGAGTGCGGGCTGCGAGCCCTAGCTACGAGCACGATTTCAAGCCCCAATCCCCCGACGGTCTCTCTCAGAATAGCCGCCTCGCCGAGCTCCCGAGTAGCCTGTACGATGGGAGGCACGAAGGGCAAGCCACGTAAGCGGCCATGGGCGAGGTTACTACGAGGACAGCATGGACCGAACCATGCCGTCCTATCACCACTCACCGAACGACTACTACCGCGTCGAAACTCCCTCTACCGCCAATCAGTCATGGTAAGGGCATCACCCTCTTTTCCTCCCACCGTTTTTCTCTTCCTTTTGTCTTCCACTTTTTTCTTTTTGCTTTTCTTCATGTGGTGCCCCCACCCGCCTAGACACCCTTGCCCACTTACCCTTCCTCCTTGAGGCCCGCCCATCGCTCTATTCTAATAATGGGCCAAGCGGTGAACGGGATGACAGATCCCTCAATGCTAATACGCCTCGTCATAGGTACTCTGGGGGAGGAAGCTCCTCCACCGCCTCCACCGCGGTATGGCCTCCCTCGCCTCAGAGGACCGAACACTATCAGCTGCCGAGGACCCTTCCGGGGCCCGTTGAAGGGCTTCATCCGACCTCCGGCATCGTTCTTCCTCCCGGACCCCCATTCGTCCTTGATTCACACTGCCCCACAATTCCCCTACCTCGCTTCCCCTTCCTTCACCTCGGGCTCCCGCGTGAATGCGGAGTACGCACCAAACTACTGACATTGGTGGTCTGTCTTGGCCAGGGCTCCTCCTGGCACATGTGGGATGACGGTGTCGGGGGTTTCCTTCTTGCTTTTGTGTTCCATATTTCATTTTCCACCTGTAGATGGGTGTTATCCTATCTCGTTGCCTAGTTTTTCCCTCCAGCGATACCGATTTTTCGTTATGGTTACATGTATGGACCGGGGCAATGGTGCGGAAGAAGTTGTCCTGCTCCCTGGTTCTGATTCAGTGGTAAATGTGGGTGGGGTGGAAACTCCATTTCTCCTTCATGGCCTGCTTCAGTTACGGCGTTTCACGAACTTTACGGCTTATGATATGAAATTTTACACATTTTGTTTGATTCTAGCGCGCACTATTATGTATTCATCAAGCCTTTGCCCCAGCCAGGCATCAGAAAATTATAAAATAACAAAAAGGGAGAAGGAGCTACGACTCTCCCAGGTTTACGCCAACTGAACCAAGCCAGTGACTACTACGATTTCCGCCAACCCGGCAAGGTGACTCACATTCCTACAGGGGCAAATATGCCGAATTACAGACTTACACACTAGTGGGTGGTAATGTATGGTTAAAGCCTATTGTTTTCCCCTCATTAGCAGCTGCGTATGCAGAAACAAAGAGTGTATCAAACGGAAAGAATCAAGGGCATTCGAGTGTCAGGAAAGTGCCTTGTCAAGGGCAATGTCATCAACGCGTATGGCTAAGTTGACCGTCGTGATAATATTAAGTCATCATTCGAGTATAGTGCCGGGAAAAGTAGAAAAGGAAAGGACAAGTACCAACCTAGATGTGGTCGTGACGAGGACAAAAGTCATCTCGATCACTATGAGATAGACCCATGTTAGTCTTCCAGAAGGTCAAGACCGCAAAACACTAAATCAACGGGTCGAGGCTCGTTCAGGAGTGTCGAAAAGCTGTCTTCGTCGCCTTTCGGCTCAGACATATGCTTGTCATTGTTTTCGTCGTTCATCATCTAAATCTGGGGCTACGGAGGGTCGGTAATAAGGATTGATACGTACGCAAGGCCACGATCACAGACACCTAACAATGATACGTGTTAGCAGAAGGCCTAGCTCAACGATCATATAAGAGTTGAAAACGACAATATATAGGGATAACGGTTGTCAGGAAGCATGAATGGAATTAAATGTTTGTGTCAGCATCGGGAAGCCCGAGTCAGACTCGTCATCTGGAATCATCACATCGCCAAGAGGGAAGAGAAAAAAGTAAGTTGAGGGTGAGGGAAGACAAACCAGAAGGAAAGCGGAGCCTAGTCACGATTCGCACTCAGAATAGCTATGTCTAGCCCTGGTTAGTTCACGTAATTGGACCAAGAGCGTTGTCTCCAGACGGATAAAACCGAATTGGTTCTTATGCCAAGAATCAGTGGGCGAGGTTTTCTAGGCCTGCCACAGAAGGCGTTATCAGCTCATTATAAAGTCGGAGCCCAGTGCCGCGATTCATCATATACAAGGCAAAGAAAGACAAGGACAAGAGGAAACAAGTTGAAAAGGGTTGCGGTTACCTGGAGAACCAACGCAACTACACAATGGTTAGCAATGCTTCCTTAACACGTAAAAGTTTTGCAAGACCATGAGGAAAGGGGTTGGGAATAATATCAGAAACAGCCATTTTGTATCGTCAAAGCAATTGCTCAGCCGGTAATTTCCAGCGTGCGAATCGCACGAGTGATCATCATTGAGACGGGAGATTTTGTGGGAGGAGTAGAGATAGTGAAAAGAGCCTTACCTTTCGTCGCTATACAACGAGCAAAGTCAATCTTGAGAAAGAATAGCCCCGAGAGTGTATTACCAAGGTCCCCAATTACGGACCGAACCCCTCATGATGCGGGAAGAAGCCTCTCTCATCTAGTCTCAAGTTAGCCCAAGCTCAAGATAAACAAGCTGAATAGTGCGAGTTAAGGTGACAGCTGAGCAATCAGACTGACGTGAAAAAGAAGTTTCATGTCCCTTTGGGAGATCAAAGACTCTAGTTTGCGGTTTATCAAATCATCATACCAGCTGCAATGGGGTAAAAAGGTGCGAGAGAAGGATGAAAAGGAAGAGAAGGGCAGGAAAAGGAAAAGGGGTGTTTTGAGTCTAAACTTACGATTGGGTGCGAGGAGACAATTGTCCCTGAGCTCACTTGAGGCTGGGACAATTGCTTTCTCTGTTGTTGAGGTTTGGAAAGAATTTGCAAAAGAAATTTTGGTCGAGGGTTTTTGTCTGTTTTTCTTGCTCCAAGAAGTGGGGCTCCTGGGTTGCAGAAGAAACATGACTAATCAAAAGATACGTACCTGGTCAGCACACCTCGCGTTGGAGTCGCGAGGCAGGCTTGGCTGCGCCCTTGCGTCGACACGGGTGTGAACGCGCTTCTTCCCAAGCTGAGGAAGAGATCCATCCCATCCCCTCCTACAACCTCATCCCATTCGATTTAGTGACGTTCGTTTCGCAATCACAATGCCTGAGATAGCTGAAGGTAATTATCGTCAATATATCCCCGGAAGAAAGAGAAGAACACAAATATTCCCATCTTTTCTCATCTTCTTCAACACCCATCCTCCAGCGATTCACCTGCTGACAACCCTTTCTTAGTGGCCAGAATTGTGCATTTTCTACGCCTTCACCTTGTTGGTAAGACCATATCCAAGGTCACGGCCGTAGAAGATGCCATCGTATTTGGGAAAGCCGGCACGAGCGGGCCAGAGATAGAGTCCGCTCTCACTGGGAAAAAGGTAACTGCCAGTGATGCACACCCCGCGAGTGACTTATATTGATCAAGAAACTTCTAGGTCCTCTCGGCGGGAAATCAGGGAAATATTTTTGGTAAGGTTCTACTCCCAGCCCGTACGCCCGTGTTGTTAAGGGGACCAGGTTAGCGGGAAAGATATACTCCTAGGCTTCTCTAACTTGGCTTCGCAGGATCACCTTTGACACACCGCCTCACGTCGTGATGCACTTTGGAATGACTGGGTGGATTCACATCCAAAATGAGAAGACGGCGTATACCAATTATTACAATAAGCTCAAAGAAGGGGAAGGGGATCAGTGGCCGCCTAAATTTTGGAAATTTCAGCTTGAAACCCAATCCAACCCCCAGTAAGATTGGCCTTTACGGACCCGCGCAGGCTAGGGCGGGTTCGCTTAGTTGACTGCCCGGCAGCCGACATACGAAAACATTCTCCTCTTGTAGAGAATGGGCCAGATCCGGTGGTAGACAAAGCCATCTTCACCCAAGATTTCCTACAGAAAAGATCAAGGCGCGACGTGTTCCGGTCAAAGCCTTGCTCCTGGACCAAAAGTTTCTCAGCGGAATAGGCAATTGGGTCGGGGACGAAGTGTTATATCACGCACGCCTTCACCCAGAACAATACAGTGATGAAATCAGCGATGAACAGATACAGAGGCTGTACGACTCCATCGTGGACGTCTGTCAAACCGCAGTCGATAAGCTCGGGGACTCGGACCAGTTTCCTAAACATTGGCTCTTCAACCACCGCTGGGCTAAAGGCAAGGGCACGACGCTCAAGCTCCCAAACGGAGAAAAGTTGGCATTCGTCACCGTCGGTGGTAGGACTAGCTGCTACGCTCCTGGCATACAGAAGAAAACTGGCAAGGGCGCCGAAACTGAACCAGATGTCAAGGAGGAAGATGACGAAGGGGATGAAGCTGCACCCCCGCTAAGGGAAAAAGCCGAAGAAGACCAAGCTCGCCCAGCCTACCAAATCAGAGGAGAAGGCTGAGTCGAAACCCGCTTCAAGGCGGAGCGCGAAAACTACGGTTACCAAAGTCACGGTCAAGGAAGAGTTGGCCGCCCCCGCAGCAAAAACCAAAAGAGTCCGCGCTTCATCTCAAATAAAGGAAGAGTTCGATGCATCCCCAGAGCCGAAGAGACAACGAGGGCCCGCTGCGGGGACTACCAAAAGGCTTCAGCAGATATTCTGGTAGAACAGCCTGGACGCCGCCGCTCCGGTCGACTGAGAAATGGCTGATACTGCCCAAAGCCACATAAGAGAGCAAATTATCCGATTCCTTTCACCCTCTCTTCCGCTCTTTCATTGCCTCTCCCTTGGCGACCGTTTCTCTATAACATCTATAACAGCCTTGCCGCGATGATCTAGCAGCCTTACGATGTAATCCATGCGTTTACTCTTTGTGATAACTCTCCCGGGCCTACCAAGAAGGTAGACGATGATCGAAAGTGTAGATCTAGAACACATCAACGGATTACTTGGACTCATCTTCTGCGGAAGAAAAGATACCACGCTCGGTATGCAAGGCCAAATTTTTATCTGGGTCCCCAGGACAATTGACAAGATGATGGGCCCAGTTTGTTTGTTTGGGTTACTGAGGCCTCGGTCTGATCCCTCCGTCGTATTCTGGTGGTAGCTCAAGCCCATAGCGAATGAGCTTGATAGTTTCGAAATCCGTTCACATTTCCGTCTGAGATTTTCCCTACATTTTCTCTCATGTTGCAATAGCCATTCGTTTGGGAATTACGCTGCTTTTCATATTCTACAATGTTGTGTGTCGACAGGTTTTTTCCCATGGGGTTCGTTGTCCCAAATTCCTTGGCCCTCAACATCGGCCGTCGATCGTGCTGAAGTAATAGACCAAAGTGTCACCTGTCTTGGCATCTTGGCAATGCCCTGAGCAACCCTGGAAGCGGTGATTCTTGGCAGCATTTCTAAAGACCAGGGACGGTGTGTGCAAGCTCCCGGCTTGGCAAGCGCCCGGAGCGAACCAAACAAGCCAAGACCTTCAACGACGCTCGAGATGCTATCAGACACAACAATTTAAAGTTCCCTATCGAACAAAGAGGTCAAACGGACACTTTGCTGGGTATAGGAGATGCAGGGAAGAGGGATAGAAAAATTGAGATGTCTACACATGTTTGGGAAGAGAACGAGAGAATGAGGATACAAAAGCACCAGGTTATCGAGGAGGGAGTCGAAAAAGAGGGGAAAAGAGAAAGAGACGCCTGCCATAAACCCATGCTCTATCCGAGCGCCATTTTTTCTATGTCCCGCCCGACAAATTATTCTATTCCTCTCACTCGGGAACGAGGACGTGTCTCTACTGTTTCAGGTCACATGTATTCTTGTTCTAACACTCCATCAATTGATCGAATTAGGAAGACGGCACGCCTTTCCAACTTTGCAACTTGCACTCACGGGACCAGGGCTCCCGAGGATCCCACGTCCCCACCATCCTGTGGAACGGTGAACCGCTCAATAGAGCCTCAATATAAAAGGCCAAGCGAGAGCTCTAGCTCGAATCGCATGGTGCCGAGTGATCCGCGATAGTCAAGAAAACCAAACTCTCTTCGAGCGTCCAATAATGGCGGCGGCTGCTAGGCTTGGCCAACTTGGCTTCAAAATGGAACAGCAGATTGGTGCGACAACCACGTGGCGAGGTCTTGGTCTATTTCAGATTCCCGGGGACGGATATTTTGGCCTACACGGCGTTCCCCTTGAGCCTCATGAGGCTTTTTGTGTGTCTCGCACGAACGATGGCCATCGCCCCTGGTCTGGTATCAAAACTCTTTTAGAGCTGGACCTGACCATACCTCTGGCAAAATTAAGATAAATGCCAATGACAACTTCACTTCATGGCCTCATAGCACCATCCGTGTGCTTAGCACGCCGTTAAAGCCCCGTCGTCCTGCCTTGGAGCATTTTCAAGTCAATAGTCCGGGGTGGCCAGGAAAATCTCCACTAAAAGCCAAAGGCAAGGAGATGTGGGTAGAATAAAGGAGAGTAAAAGATCGGACGGCTTTCAAATGGCCACCAAGCATGGGATGGTTCTTTATTGGCACTCGTGATCATGGCGTGGATCCTGTGATCTATCTCCCTGACCTCCGAGTTTGCAAGCCGTCCATAGTCCCGTCGCGGGAAGGGAGAAGGGAGACAGGGCCTCGACTGACCAGATAGATGGCGGTAGGGAGCGGGTGGCGATATCCCATTCACCATAGATCCGGATGGATCCGTTGATGCTTCGTGCGATTACTCCTCTCCTGCCCTGCCACATCCTACGATGGACTCTTGTTCCCCCAAACTGGGTCAGCACTTTACTTGACTCGCGAACGGCCGTTGGGTGGGAATTGGAGGATTCTTTGGTTCTCAGCCGCCTCTTCCATTTATTGCAACATGCGACACGATACCTGGTGCGCCTAACCTTGCCCGGTTCCGCCCCGTGCATTTATCCTGAAGCAGCCCTTCGAAGACTTTTTTTCCTCGTATGAAAGTGGATAAGCTTGTTTTCCCCCTTTCCTCAACCAGCCAAATTCCTTTTTAGCCATGACCACCGAATTGGCAAAGGATGAATGGTCCAGCTCGGTACACCATCCGCTTCATTTAAACTTGAGCCGCTTGCGGCTCCACCAGCACGACATGGAAGCCAGAGAAGAAGAAATGGACAAGGGGCAAGCTGCATACAACAGACGAATGAGAAGGGGAGAGCAAAGAAAGATGGGAAAATAAGAAATCAAAATTTCGATGTGAGCTATGATCCCTCTGAGCTAGAGCCCCAAGAGCGCATGCTCGTATGGATCCAAGGCTTTCTCTCCTAGGCATTCCTTGCCGCATACAATGCGTAGGGTGACTGGTAGTAGAGCCCTCAGGCACTCTTCCGACCACAGCATTTCTTCTGTTTTCCCTTCAGGTAGAGAGATGTATAATTTGAATCCATGAAAAAGACCCCCACCCACACAAAAAGAGGCAGCGGTTGATAGTCGTAGTTTTGGCCCCTCCCCCAGTCATGCAAGTAAAGAGCCTCGAGTCTCCACAGCCTCGGGCTGCGAGATAACTCCCTTGATCACGGCCGCAGCGACTATGTCCATCATAGTAGTGGCAAGTGGGCCAGCCCGTGAGCGGGTCAAGCCACTGGGGCCAATTCATCTACTCGGACGGCACTACATTGTTCGTCGCATTACGGTGCCTTCCCCTTCACTTACTCCTGTTACGCACGAAATGCTGCATAGTTCCCCCGCTCTCAGGACCCTCATACCCAGGAAGCTTTGCCGTGAAGAAGCCTCGTTGTGGAGGAAGATGCGAAAGTTGGGTAGCCTACCCCAGAAAGGTACGGCAGCGAACGCACGCGAGAAAAAGAAGATTGGAGTATAAAGGATGCCTCGCAGTCGCCTCTTTTCCCCCAGATCTTTCTACTCTCATCCCCATCCTCCACTTCTCACCTCTTCCGAGCATCTTGGGTCTTTCAGCTCTCGCGCTAAGCCTCTCCTGCCAGCAGCCTCGGCCTTCTTCACTGTCTTTAGTTGTCTGTCTCGGTCAGAGCTTCGTACCCTTGACTCCCATCCCGGCTCTGTCTTTCCACCTTGCCTCAAGATGCGTCGCGCTGCAGTCCTCTCCGCCTTCGTGGCCGCCGTTGCCGCCCAGTCGGCCGGCACCGAGACCGCCGAGACCCACCCCAAGATGTCTTGGTCCAAGTGCTCGGAGGGTGGTAGCTGCACCAAGGTCAACGGTGAAGTCGTGCTCGACTCCAACTGGCGCTGGACCCACGAGGTCGGTGGCTACGAGAACTGCTATGACGGCAACATCTGGACCGACCTCTGCAGCAGTCCCGAGGAGTGCGGTACCAAGTGCGCCATCGAGGGTGCCGACTACGCCGGAACAGTAAGTCGTGGCGGCGGACGTCTATTTGAGCTCTTACTGTCTAGACCGAATCTAACCCAAACTCTTGTGCTTCTTTAGTACGGTGCGTCCACCAGCGGTGATGCCCTCACCCTCAAGTTCGTCACCGAGCACGAATACGGTGCCAACATCGGCTCTCGTCTTTACCTCATGGAAACCGAGGACAAGTACCAGATGTTCACCCTCCTCGGTAACGAGTTCACCTTTGATGTCGACATGTCCAAGGTCGGCTGCGGCTTGAACGGTGCCCTGTACTTCGTCTCTGTAAGCGATTTCTCTACACTGTTCCCGCCACCAGCGCTCTTTTCTTCTTCTTCTTCCTGTGGAGGCTAACAGCCATCACCTCTAGATGGATGCCGATGGTGGTCTTGCCAAGAGCCCCAACAACAAGGCTGGCGCCAAGTACGGTACCGGTTACTGCGATGCTCAGTGCCCTCGCGATCTCAAGTACATTGACGGCAAGGGTAACATCATTGGCTGGAACCCCTCCGACAACGACCAGAACGCCGGTGCCGGCGAGATGGGCTCCTGCTGCTCCGAGATGGACATCTGGGAGGCCAACAAAATCTCCACCGCCTACACCCCCACCCCTGCACCACCGTCGGCCAGCACACCTGCACGGGCGACTCCTGCGGCGGCACCTACTCCGACGACCGCTACGGCGGCACCTGCGATCCCGACGGTTGCGATTTCAACTCGTACCGCCAGGGCGACCTCGAATTCTACGGCCCAGGTATGACCGTCGACACCAACAAGGTCTTTACCGTCGTCACGCAGTTCATCGAGGAGGCCGGCCAGCTCTCCGCCATTCGTCGCTTCTACGTCCAGGACGGCAAGGTGATTGCCAACAGCGAGTCCCTCATCGAGGGCAACCCCGGCAACGAGATCAACGACGAGTTCTGCAAGGCCCAGAAGAAGGCCTTTGGCGACGGCGACGTCTTCAACGATAAGGGTGGCTTCCCCCAGTTCACCGAGGCCGTCGCCGGCGGCATGGTGCTCGTCATGTCCCTCTGGGACGACCACTACTCCAACATGTTGTGGCTCGACTCCACCTTCCCCACCGACGCCGCCGCCTCGGAGCCTGGCAAGGCTCGTGGTTCTTGCCCTACCGACTCTGGTGTTCCTGAAGAGGTTGAGGCTTCTCAGGCCTCTGACCAGATCATCTTCTCGTATGTCTTAAACCCCTTCACTTTCTTTCTTTCTGTTACTTCTCCTCTTCCCTTCCTCTCTCTCTTCCCTCAACTAGACTAAGACCGCTAACACACTTCACAGCAACATCAAGTTCGGCCCTGTCGGCTCTACCTTCGACCAACCTTAGGACATGAACCGGCATGTAAAGCAAAACACCGGAAGTGGAGGGTTAGAGGATGGTCACTTGTAAATGAAATCATGATTAGACAGCATATCCAGAGGACTATTCTGTTCTCTGCATGTAGATATTTTTTCTTCTTTTTTATTTCACTCACAATAGAGATTTCTTTTCTTTCTAGTCACGAGCGAAAAATTACTCGGTCGGTCTTCAACCTGGTCTGGGCTGCACCTTCATTGTAACGATCCTCCCTTTTCTAGCATATTTTGGATTTTATAGAGAAAAGCCGCTGGTAATTCAGGGATGGCGAGTCGTTGCTAGTCGCCGCTAGTCGTCTACAGGCGCCGGGCTTATGTCTCCCCCGAACTGCAGCTGTGCGTGAATATCGGCGTCCCGTGCGGCCAGGTAGGTATGGGATTTAGTTTTCATTGGCTTGTAGACTTTCGGTCCGAAGTGCCGTCGTATCCGTTCTATGCTTTCTATCATACAGGTAAAATACAGCTGGGGCCCCCGTGTCAAGTATTCATGTACAGGTACAGGACGTAGAGTGGGGGCGTTGTTCCACCGCTCGCTCGAGGACGCTGACTTGTGTACGTCCGCGTGCTCCTCTTGGGGCATTTCTCCTTTATTAGGTTGCAACGTGCTGATCCGCAGCCCGCTCTGACTTTCCTAGCCCGGGCATGGGGGTGTTGAGAGAGGAATGGAGAAGGACCAAACGCAGCTCTCAGCCGCCTTTCATAGGTATATCGTCCCAAGACACGATCTTGCCCACCCATGGTTCCGGAGCCGGTTCCTTGCTCTTGGCCTCCTTGCCCATCAGACCCGCAAGCCTAAGCACGGCGATCCGCGCACCGCCCATGCCAGCCTCCTCGCGGGCCGGGCTTCTTTTAAGTTTTGCCCTCTTGGCGAAGAGGGCGTCGCCCATACCCGCGGCGGTGACGCACATCTCAGGGACCCAGTCGCCTTGGGACTTGCCCCTCTTCGGGTTCTCGACGAGCTCCCTCACCTGGTCGCAGCGCGCCGCGCAAGCGTCGAGCCAAGCGGCGCCGTCGGCACGGCAGCGATCCGCGCGGGTGAAGATGACGAGTGTGCGCTTCTGATGGTGGGCGAGAAACTCGAGGACTTCGGTATCCCAGCGCGTGAGCGGAACGTCGGCGCGCAGGAGGAGGACGACGCCCTTGAGCATGGTGCGCCGCTCGAGGTACTCCTCAATCTGGCGACCCCACTCCTTGACACTGTTGTACCCGTAGCCGGGTGTGTCCATGAGGATGAGGCTCCGCAGCAGGTCCATCTTGGGCGGGGCCTTGGCATTTTCGTTCTTGATAACCTTGCGCTTGACGACGGGACCTGTCGCGTACGCATTCATCTCCCGCGTGCTTCCCGGGCGGGAGCTGCTCCGCGCCAGGCCCGTAGCGCCGAGGAGGGCGTTGATAAAGGTCGACTTGCCCGCGTTGGAGCAGCCCAGCACGCACACCTCGGGGACGTAGTAGTTGACCTGGTGGCTGCGCCAGCTGACGGCGGAGTAGGCGAAGCTGGGCGCCTGGTCGAGAAAAAGAGGCCGCGGTCTGGAGGTCGAAAGGTCGCGCGGAGCGGATCGCCTGCGAGGGGGAAAAAGGGTTGGGAGGGGCGCGAGGCGGATGCTCGGCGAGGACCAGAGATCCTGAAGAGAATCGCGTGTGGTGGGCGCCGCGGGCGGCGTCGTCGAGTAGCCTCGGAGGCAGCGGCGGGCGGGTAACGGGGGTGGTGGGATGGGACGCGCGAGCAAGAGGTGCGCGGCGAGGCGGGAGCGCGGCCGCCAGGACGACATTGCTTCGGGGCTTGAGAGGATTGAGGAGGGGAACGGCGGGTGAAGTGCTACCTGTGCGTGCGCAGCATAATTTCAGGCGATTCGTTTCGGGAATAGGAGCTCTGGCAAAGTGTGGTCGTTCTAAAGCGAGGGCGAAGTTGAAACGGGGTGGGTTTGGCGAATTTGGCGCATTTGGGGACGTGATAGAATGAGGTCAGTCAAGTGGAAATGCGAGCAGGAGGAAAAGAAAAAGAAAAAGCGAGCTACCGTTGAGCAATACACAGTGCACACAAGTACTCGCACCTTAAGATCTTGTGCTAGTCTAAACGTGACAAAGTGCGGGAATAGGTTTCTATAGCCTGATTAGCTACCTTGTTTTCAACAAATCATAACCAATCTTCCTTGGTCTAGTGGTCAGGATACCTGCTTGTCATCGAACAAGTCGCAGGTGGCCGGGGTTCGATTCCCCGAGGGAGAGTTTCTTTTTCCATTTTTTTCTGCTGTTCGCTCAGGAAAGGAAGACGTTGTGCGAGGTGGCTCTATCTAGTGCACCGGCAGCTGGCGTATTCTTTTTTCTCACTTCCAAGGTTCTTTCGACTTATCATCCCCCTCTTAAGGTACTGGTGGAAAGCTAGAGTCAAATATGGGCCTGCTTGTAAATGGCAGCATGTCGGCCCAACACTGTTGAACACATCCCGTTAGGCAATCTTGTAGCTGGGAATGGTCCGGGTGCAGATGGCTAGTCCCGGCACAGATTCTTCTTTCGCCACCCCGCACTTCCACGAATCGATCAAAGAGACCACACCGCAGAGTCACGAGCTTCAAGGGTCCTTTTTCATTTCCTTCCAAAGGGATATATTTTATTCTTCAATCTTTAGCAAGCATAATACTAACAAGCCTCATTAGACTTTCTAAGGTGTAGATTAAGAATCGAAGAGACAAAGAAAGACAAGACAAAAAGACAAATCATGGCTGCCAACCCTCGATGCTGCTAACAGAACAAAACTTTTCCAGTCATTATAAAGAACCTTCCATGCAAAGCCACTTCCGCCCCGTGCGACGCGCTTAGTACACCTCGAGGACATATCGTCCATCTTCCTTGAGCCTCTCGATCTCGGTCCTGGAGTCGACCTTACGGCCGCTAGCCTTGGCCTCGGCGCGAATGGCCTCCTCGAGCACCTCGGTGACGTCGGGAACGGGCCAGGTGGGACCGCACAGGTAGAAGGAGCCCTTCTCCGTGATGTAGGCCTTGACAATGTCGCGCATGGTCTCACGCATGCGGTCCTGGATGTAGATCTTCTGGGGCTGGTCACGCGAGAAGGCGGCACCAAGGAGGGTGATGACGCCCGCATCGAGGTAAGCCTCCCACTCCTCTCCGTACAGGTATTCCTCGCGCTGGTGGCGAGAACCAAGGTAGAGGAGAATGGCGCCAATCTCCTTGCCCTGGGCCTTTTGCATCGCGCGGTACTGAACAAAGGCGCGGAAGGGGGCGAGACCGGTACCGAGACCTGCCATGATCAAGGGCGCGGTGTCCTCGGTAGGGAGCTTCATGACGGAAGGCTTGACTGACACGGTCACCTTGGAGCCGGGCCTGAGGCGGTGGAGGTAGCGCGTGGCCTGTCCCAGACGCCTGCGGCCCTGGGGGTCGACCCAATCGACGACGACAATCATGAGCGTCACGCTGTTGGGAGTGACGGCCTGAGCCGAAGCGATAGAGTACTCGCGCCTCTGGAGAGGAGCGACGATGCGAACGAGGTCGTGGAAGCTGGGACGAGCCGACTTGAACTCCTTGAGGATGTCCACGTACGTGACGGTGTCGGTCTCGGATCGCTTCTTGAACTCCTCTGCGCCGGCCTGGCTGCCGAGGGCTGCGAGCTTGTTCTTCTCGCTGTCGTCGGTGGCGAACTCGGCGAGAGCCTCGTAGAAGCGCTTGGGGACCTTGCCGAGGATATCGACGTTTTGGATGAGAGCCTGGAATACGGTGCGGGTATCGAGAACGGTGGGGTCCTCTCGGCTGGGCACCTGCACGAGCTCGTCGGCGTTGAGGCCGTAGAAGTTGATGAACTCCTCGACTTCCTCCTTGTCGTTCTCGGCGTGAATGCCAAGGGCCTCTCCGATCTTGTAGGTGACACCTGAATCGCCGAGGTCAAACTCGATGTGGAAGATGTTTCGGTCATAGTTGGAGGGTAAGGCGACGGTTCTCCTTGACGGTGACGGTGGATGTCTTGGCGGGAGGTCAGGTCGAAGGGAGATCTTGGTGCCGTAGGCCTCCTTGAAAGCAAGACCCTTGGCAGCCGCCTGCCAGCTCGCGAGGGCGGGCTGCTCGGCAGGCTCCTCCTTCTGGAACGAGACGAAGCTGTAGGGCTTGACGGTAGCTTGGAGGGTGGGGGCAACGGCATCCTCGGGAACTTCGGCCCAGGCCTCGACCACCTCGATCTTACGGAGGGTGGCGTTGACGAGGAGATCCAGTCTTGGAGAGGAGTCTGGCTACCCTCAGCGAGGATAAGCTTGCCAATCTCGTCAGGCGAGATATCGGGGCGAGCGATCTTGATGAACGCAAGCTCCAGAAGAAGCCTGCTGCCAATGGCATCGCCTTCCAGCTCGGGAGCAAGGGCGGTGTCTAGGGCATAAACATCGACGTTCCTGTCGTGGAGATTCTTGCGCAAGTGCACCGAGAGCCGCTTTTCAACGTCCTCCTCCTTGAAGTTGGGGAGCTTGATGATGATGTTACCATCCTGCTTGACGCTGCTGGAGATGGCAAGATCCTTCAGGAGCTTCTCGTCACCAACAACAGCAACATCAGCCTGGCCAATCTGGTAGGGGCCTCAATGGCCTTCTTGGAGCTGCGAATGTCCGTGCGAACAGCACCTCCTGAACCAGGCTGTCGTAGGTCTCGTGCAGGTAGACATTGTCAGTGGACTCGCGGGAGAAGAGGTTGGCGAGAACGGTGGGGGCGCTAATGACGGCAGAGTTGTCAAGGTCCCAGAAGGTGTACTGCTGGGCTTGGACCTGGGGAATGGCGTCCTCCTCAACAGTAATATTGGTGTACTTGCGGATAACCTCGGTGAAGAAGGCGGGGGTCAGGCGAGCGGCGGCCGAGTACTTGAACTCGGCGACCTTGGGTTCGGCCGCAAACTTGTCGGAGAAGGCGACGGTGGCGAGGACGTCGGCGTAGAGGAAGACTGCGCGCAAATATCGGCAACGGCAGCCTCGGTGGACACCTGGCCGACGACGACAATGTTCTTGACAGACTCGGGGAGAACCTTGAGGAACTCTTCCTCGACGAAGGGGCGGTAGACGCGGACCTTGACGAGGCCAATCTTGGCACCGCTAGAGGCAAGGTTGTTGACAACCTGAGTAGCGAGCTGCGCCTCGGTGCTGCCGAAGACGACGAGGACTTGCTCGGCATTCTTGTGACCGGTGTACTCAAAGAGGTCATAGGCGGTGCCGAGCTCATCGTTGAACTTGGCGAGCAGTTCGACAACCTTGCCCGAGATGTCGAGCCTCTTGTTGAGAGAGGCGGCCTCCTTGGCAATCTTGGAGTAGATATCGGCAATGCCAGACTCGCTCAGGGCGTCGACGACGCGGAGGGTTTCGCGGGTCATGCGAACACCGTCGTAGACGTGGAGGGTAGGTACGAGGGTCGCCAAGAGAGTGGCGAAGATGGAGATGTGCTGGGTCTCGTAGGCAGAGAAGCTGGAGACGAGACCGAGGCCGAGATCCTCGGCGATCCTGAGGGCGCTATCGTACTCGGTGACGAGGCCAGCGTTGGAGGAGTAGTCGGCAGCCGCGATATGAGCGACGAGAGGGCTCGAGACGCCATAAAGCAGAGAGAGCTGGTCGAGGGCGCCGCGGAGGTGGCGGAGGCTTCCGGAGGTGGCCAGAAGAGTCTGGGGGATGTGACGCTTGCTCAGGTCAAAGTCGCGGGAGAAGATGTAGCCGAGAGCGAAGGCACCGGCGCCGGTCCTGGTCTGGAGGGGTAGGACGGAGGTGGAATAGCCGTGGATGTTCTTCTCCTGCTTGGCGGCCCAGTCCTTGGCGGCAATGTCAAGGTCAAAGGTCTCGGGGAGTAAGAAAAGATCTTGTCGGAGAGCTTGTACGCGATCTGCTGGACGAGGAGCTGGGCGGTCACATAGGTCGGGCCCGAGATGTGGGAGAGGGCACACGCTGGCCAAAGGGAAGGGCGGAGGAGATGGGCTTGAAGGCAGGCTCCTCAACGATGGCCTGGACGCCACCGGCGTCTTCCTGGAGCTTGAAGTGCATCGTGTATTGCTTTGACCGACCGGTTCTCGTGAACCCGAAAGGAACGAAGAAAAGGAATGAATGGACACGGGTGCGCTGTTTTCACTCGGAGGAGGACCGGAGCCGAGAAGAAAAACTTAGACACCAGTCGAAGGAGGATGCGTTTGAACTGAAACGGCCCTCTTTGAACAGAGCAAATCTGTAGGAGGGATTCAAGACAACCAAGGGCAAGCGAGCAGTCCTCAGCAAGAGAAAAGGAAGGTGGAAGGGGGTCGAGTTCACGATTCTGAGGTATTAATCAAGGGAAACTACGACTTGCGGAGAGGACGCCCTCTAATAATATGTCTACAACCGAAACCGGCATCAATCCCACTCTAACGGCTGTACCCCAACTTACAAATCGCCTCCTCCTCAACAGCCGACCGTGGAGGGAGGTTAGAAACTTTTTTTTTTTTCACCCTTGTTTTCTCTGGACGCTCCGCAAATCCCATGTTACAATTGCTTCATGGTCCGCTTTAACTGAGATCACGCAATTTCAGACTAACCCGATTGGGAGATTTAGAGGAAGAAGACCCTGAAAGCCGAAGTGGCAATTAAGCGCACTCTCCCATTGGCGGATTGGTGGATGAGTAATCGGCATAGTCGATGGCTTTCGTTCAGTCCGTCGAGCACGCAATCGCACATGTTCCGGGCAATCGGACATTTTGGAGCGTCAGGGGCGAGGATTTCTTCGGGTCTCGGGCGCGTTTCCGGTGCTGACATTTCGACGTGCTCATATTGGTATTGAGGGCCTGGAATGCCAAAGTAGGTGAAATCAATGCAACGACCATCTATCAGTCTCAATCAGTCTCAGTATGTTCATCGATTGCGGGGCAAACTATCGCGTTCCAAATCCAGTAACTTGGGAAGACCACTTAGTCAGGTCCGTTTTCGTTGATACCAGCCAGGCCGAGAGAAAGTGCGCTTAGGACTGTGAGCATTCTTCTGATAAGTTCGCTCCTTGATTCTTTTCGAATACTTTTCTTGCTTCACTCCTTGTTTTTGGGTTTGGTATTTGGAACATCTCCGTCACATGCAAGCAGTGTCTATATCATAAAAGTCCGGCGTGACAACCCGGTACACCTCATCGTGACACTGGAACCAGCGGCCGTGCTTTGGGTGAGACATTGGCTCAGTCCCTCATTTGCCTGACGTTGAGATTTATCCTCTTCTTCTTAATCCAGCCTCTCCACTCCTCGTACTTGCCATCTTCCTCGGCTGGCCAATTGGCAAGGAATTCGGGGCAGGATCCCTTCAGCACCTTGGGCACTCCATGCCAGGCGTACCTGGACTCCTGTGTCATGTAAATGGCGTCCCCGACCGTATTCGGAGGAGTAGATATGGGAGGTCTTCCGCGGGATCACCGGGCTCGGCGGCTGCGTCGTCCGTTTTGGGAGCAGGCTCCTTGACGTCGTTCGGCGCAATCATGAACAAGCCGTCGCACCCCATGCTGAGACTGATGAGGCCCTTGTCCGTCTCCTCGCTGACGTCGCGGTGCAGCATCATTGTGTCCCCGGCGTGTAAAAGTTTACGATGGCGGCTTGGGCGACAGTCTCGGGGAACAGGCTCTCGAGGAGGCCGGCCAGATCCGGAGGGAAGGCGGGGGCTCCTCGCCCGGATACACGCGGTTCGTCCAGTCGTACTGGCCTCCGAGGGTGACCCAGTGGAGGCGGCGCTCCAATACTTGCTTGATGGAGAGGGTTTGTGGACCAAAGGGTCTTTGGGTTCAAAGCCGGGCGGGGAATCCGGGGGTAGGTGAAGAGGGAGGCTGACGCTTCCGCGCTAGATGAGGTAGATGCTTGAGGGTAGGGGATGGCGTAGTGTAGGTGAAGGTTCGTCTGGTGCTTTGGGTTGCTGAGGTCGCGGTGGATCATGCGTGAGAGAAGGGTTTCTTGGACCTCGGGGGTGAGGAGGTTAGGTATGATGAGAAGCCCTACAATTGTATCATTAGCTATGGCGAGGGATGTGGATGGACTATTGGACCAGGTAATACGGCAAGGTCGAAAAGAAAAACAAGCAAAGAATATAAATTAAAAAGGAAGAAGAAGCGTGAAAATAAGGAAACGAAAGACCAACCAGGAAGTAAGGGGTGGTAATATATAGCCGCATCCTCGCGCTCCTCCGATGCTATATCGATGTAAGAGAACGCTTTGGCGATTTGCGCCGCGGTTATCGTGCCCGCCCTGCGCAGACGTTGAAGGTGGTCAGGCGATCTCGGATCCGTGACGAGCGGGCTCTCGTTCAGCTCCTTGGACTCCATGCGGGAGAATCCCTTCCATATGGCCCTCAGCCAGTCCGCCGGCGCCTCGTGGGCGTCGAGCTCCGTGAGGTCCATGGTGATGGTGGGGTAGCGGGGTTTCGTTCGCGATGCGGTGGCACGGCTACACAAAAGGACGGGCCAGTTGCGAAGGGAGAGGAGAAAAGATGGGGGAGTTGCCGCGCCCTCCTCTTGCGACTGTTGTCCGATATACAATATGATGGCCTTTTTTCTTTTTCTCTCTCTCGTTTGGAGAGTCGAAGCTAGCTGGGAATAAGGTGTCGGCTTCCCGGGATGAGATCGGAGGGAGTAGATGGTCGCAATTTTTCTTTTTTGGCTGGCGAGCCCTGAGGCGGTTTGGAGTGTACTGGTCTACCCGCACACCAGGGGCGCGACTATTGATCGGACTTGTCCAGTTCGTTTGGGAGGAGGCTTCCTCCAACTCGCTCATTTCTCGAATTCTAGTGGTATCGTAGAGAGATCTTGAATGGCTTCCTAGATTGACAAGTAGATAAATTACTGCGCTAGACTTTTACTTGTCCCTCAAAGATGAGTCTTGCCTCATGGAAGACCTTGACTTTGATGACCGTCAAGATATGGCTATGCGAGGGGAGAACCCATCCTCAAAGTGCGGGCGAAGTGTTGAGTATCTCGACCTGTATTCTTTTTATCACAATTTCAGCTTTTCCATCTTCTTCTATCTTCCTCCACTTCGAGGTCATAACCTTCAAAGCGGGTCGCGCCTACACGACGATGATGCGAGAATTATCGAGAAGTGAGCATGAAGCTTTGAAGTGGTGATTCATACCACCCCGCCCGTTTCCATAGCCTTATCGATAAACAAAGACCCCGCGCTTTTGGGGGCAACACAGCTTTTCTGTTAAGCCAACCCGCGTGTCGCCAGCGCAGACGCCAGCGCCAACGCGCTCCTGTTGCCCAGCCGTAATTGTTTTCATCAACACAGCGCTCGCAGCACACATTGCTTTCTCAGAGCCTAGCGCAACACTGACAGCAGCCGAACAAGTAAACATAATCACAGCCCGAAATTTGGATCAACCACGCTCAACTCTCTCTCTCTCGCCAACTCCCTTCCCGCCCAAGGATCACCAGCACCCTGAAAATACAACAACCCAAGGTAGGCTTGCGATTGATTTTTTTCCTTGGTTTTTCGTTTCGACCTCATTCTTCATACCATTTCCCGCCGCCCCTTGGGGATATTCTCCAGGTCTCCCCCACCTCGAAACAAAGGTGGGAAGTAACCCTCGTTTCTCATCCATCTCGACCCCGCAGGTGCTTGACCTGCAGCTCCCCTTGCCTTCGCATCCCCTTACCTACCCTACTATTCAGCACACTCAATTGGTATACTTCGCTCCAAGAGAAGTCGAGGCGAATTACCACTCTTCATCCCTTTACTTATCCTTATTTTCAGGCTTGTAGTTCCGGGTCGACGTTGTTTCCCTTCCTCCGAGCGTGGCATTCGAACCGCTGTTCGTTTCATACCGCCGCCCTCGACACCACATAACCATCGCGCCGAACGAGCCTCTGTCCGATCCAAAGATAACGGCTATGGAGAATTATCAGAAGCTTGAGAAGGTCGGAGAGGGTAAGTAAAGTGTATCTCTCTGTTGCTTGGCACCCTCCGTGTCAACCCTCCCACTAATCTCACCGCCTTCTGCCGGCGACCTTTTCCCTAGGGACCTACGGTGTCGTCTACCGAGCTCGCGACCTCTCGGCTGGTGGCCGCATTGTTGCCCTCAAGAAGATTCGACTCGAGGCCGAAGATGAGGGTGTTCCCTCCACCGCCATTCGCGAGATTTCCCTTCTCAAGGAAATGAGGGACCCCACCATTATCCGGCTCCTGAATATCGTTCACGCCGAGGGCCAGAAGCTCTACCTCGTGTTTGAATTTCTTGATTTGGACCTAAAGAAGTTTATGGAGTCGCTTCCCGTCAGCGAAGGTGGCCGCGGCAAGCCTCTGCCAGATGGAAGCTCCGCCTTCCTCGGCCGCATGGGCATGGGCCCTGTTGTCGTCCAGAGGTTCATGATGCAGCTCTGCCGCGGCGTTCGATACTGCCACTCGCACCGTATCCTCCATCGTGATTTGAAGCCCCAGAACCTTCTTATCGACGGCGAAGGCAACCTCAAGCTCGCCGATTTTGGCCTCGCCCGTGCTTTTGGCGTGCCCCTCCGCACCTACACCCACGAAGTCGTCACCCTTTGGTACCGCGCCCCCGAGATTCTCTTGGGTGGTCGCCAGTACTCCACGGGCGTTGACATGTGGTCTGTCGGTTGCATCTTTGCCGAGATGTGCACGCGAAAGCCTCTTTTCCCCGGTGATTCGGAGATTGATGAGATTTTCAAGATTTTCCGGTAAGCATTGTTTCATCCCCGAACGTTCTGTCCTATACAATCTCTGCCCACTACCGAGTTCTACTTTGCGTCAGTCAGTCATGTGTCCTAACGTTTTCTCTCTTTTCTAGCATTCTTGGCACCCCTTCAGAGGAAATCTGGCCTGGCGTTACCTCGTATCCCGACTTCAAATCTTCGTTCCCTAAGTGGTCTCGAAGCATTTCCAAGCCCCTGTGCGATAGCTTGAATGAACGCGGTCTCGAACTTCTCGAGATGATGTTGGTATTTGACCCCGCAGGTCGCATTTCAGCCAAGCAGTCCTGCAACCACCCTTACTTTGAGGAGTACAATGCCCAGCACGAGGACCCTGCCCCGGCAGTCAACTATCGCGCCGGCAGCAATGGCTACTACCGATAAACTCGCATCGGCCAGCAGGAATGCCTCTCTCCCGCGCTGGCCCAATTTGATGCCCTTACAGCATGTTCCCCTAAGAAAAGAGGGTTAGGTCGACGCTTGATTAGCCCAGTCTTCACCTAGGGGTTCTGTTCTGCTCTTGAAGTGAAGCGAGGAAGGTGGACATGCATCACGCTGAGCCCAATCCACCGATACCCAAAATTCAGCGCTTGTTTTAGTAGGCACCCATTTTCTCCGCCTCTGCCGCCTGTTCGGCCGGGTGAACTGACCCGGTTTGCCTGTCGCACGGGCATGAAGCGCTCTTTACGAGGGAGGCATACGGCGTTGGTGGCTTTATACGGCTGCTTTTCTTGTTTTTTTTTTAATCCTTTTACTCTGGAAAGTCGGTATCACCAGGGCTTGGGTCTCTGAAACCAGAGGCATTCCTGAAAAAGCGGTCAGCAATTGTTACTTTGTCGGCTCCAGGAGACCGCGGTACAATTGCGTCCGTCCTGTACTGGCTTGCCAACCGCTTGAGGCATATTCGACGACAAACAAACTCAGACCATGGCTCTAAATTCTCATGTTCCTGCTTCTCTTTCTTTGTTCCATTTGACAGTCTTAGAGCGGACGCTGTTATAGAAGACACCCATAATTCCACACCAGGGCCCTGGATCCCCGTGTCATCATCGTGTGCGTAGGCTTTTGAGTGAGCAGAGTAAGGGCTAACACTCACGAATCAGCGTGTTGCGAAACCCCAATATCATGCCGTGCGCCCCTACTTGTGACGGAATGAACCTGGGTGCATGTGTAACGCTCTGCGTGCTCGTATTATGTTGTCCACCTAACCGGAGTCAAGGAGGAAGGGGCTTTGTTGGGCGCCTCTCATCATTCTTTTGCCATTAAGGTTATCTAAATTTCTCATGTCGTAGATGTGAGCGCAAGAGCGGTGTCACCATCCACTAGGGATACCATGCCTCGATGAAACTTTTGTCCTAGGGTGTTCCTATATCCGAACCCAGCCGTCTCTTTGTTTTCATCTACCCTTTCTCTCACCATTGCCGGTGTCGGCGTCGCACGCTGACTTCACCGGCACACACTCACCTGTAGAATCATTCATCAGGACGAGCGCAACTCATTCCCTAGTGTCTATATTATCGGTTATTACCGAGCGTTCCTTAATCTCAAGGTTGGAGGTCCTCGAATTATAAGCAAACTGTGCAGGGTGTTTGCGTCGGACATGCTTCCGGGGCTAACTTGGGGATGCACGCTCATTCGCCTCTCCTAATGAGTCTATAGCGGTGCAATGACGACGCAAAGAGCTAGAGGTGGTGTCGTCTCCTTCGGCATGGTTCACGGGGACGTATTCGCGTGTTTTCCAGGATGTACAACGTACTGGAAAGGCTTGTGTTCTTTATCCATTTCATTCACTACATCTAGTACTATCACGGTTATCCTGGCGATCCGACGGCTAGGATAAAATGGGAAGTGGAAAAACACATCCAGGGCCTCTCACCTTTTGACGGTACGCTCTACTCAACGCCAACAGCACGATCCATACGGCGTAGCCATCCCCGGATTGATCATGGAGCGTTGTATCGAACTTATCGCGTATCGGGGCGAGTGGCCAGCTAGGGACTTCGAGCAGTCTTGTAACGGATCCATGACAACTCTCTATCTCATAAATCTGTAGGAATATGATGTTTGCATAGAGAAGGAGGGCATCTGCATCCTTTGCATCCTGGCGTGTCCTAGAGGTTATCTCGGGGATCGCAACCCAAGGCGCCCGTGGGCAACAAACTCCGTGCCGCTAGATCCTACACCTGCAATAAGTCATCTGAGAGAAAGATGAGCCACTTCCATGATCCCGTGTAGCCCTTGGGGAGTTGGTCCTTTGCGAAAACATGGATCAAGAGATGAGTGTTCTCCTTGTTGGCTGCAAGAGGATCGAAATATTGGAGTTGGTTTGGTCGCCAGGTGTATGTGCGCTATCTAGTGCGTGAGCCTTTCTATTGAACTAAATGCAGTTTCGAAGGAACCTAACGTCAAACCCTAGCTCCAGATGCAGCCACCGTCACAAGATGCAACCATCGCCGTTGAGTATATGTGGAGCTCCTCCTCGGAAACCGCGCCTTCCGTTGGAACACTAGGATACATGTAGAATCACAGATGGATGGAAGGGGCACGGGAGGCTCGGCGGCGTTTAACACACAGCAGAACCGTGGCGTCTATCACGAAGCCAACCCTAGAAGGAGTAGGAATGGGGTCTCCTTCCATGCGACCGGACTGCACGTCTGTCCTGCGATGGACCAGGCCGATGGCGTGGGACCGGAATCCGTCAACGGTCGTAAATAGATGCTACAGATGGGACGGCGGCTTGGCCCAAGTAGTGGCCTCCTCTATCCATATCCTTTCTACGAATAGCCCCTACATCACGTATGTTTCCTTTTGTGACGGGGAAATGCTAGAATAGTTCACTTGGGAGACGAGGCCAGCTGAGCCCGGGTTTCATCGTGAGGTCGCCTTTTCTTTTGCTCTTGAGACGTTTGAGAACACGGCTCGTTGCTTTGTCCAACCCGACCGGCATCTAAACATAAGAACCCAGTGTGCAACGGAGCGATGCTGGATGACCACACCCTGCGGCACAGGGTATAAGCCTCGTCCATGTTGGGAGGAGAGAGGGGGCATCCTAAGCTAGAGGAGATGGTCGAGACCAAGCAAGTATTCCTTTGTCGCGCAGGAATGCGCCCCATGCGACGCCCTTCTTTGTCGTTTGTTCTTCTGACCTCTTTCATTTAATAAGTTTTTACGTCTTCTTCTTTCTTTCACTCACGCAGACGCACGACCGGTTTCTGATTTTGCGCTCACCTTCGCCTCGCAAGTATTTTCCAACCGGTAGCGTGAATCTCATCATCCTCCGCCCAACGCATGGCTGAGCCTCCTTTTGCGGGGATGAGGGAGTTGAGACGACTGGGTGGGGGGCTGGTTATTTCCGAGCATGATCGCGGCTGCTTTCGCGGGAAGTGAACAACTTGTCCACCTCGAGTGGACCAAAAGGCCCCGATAGTGTTTTCCTCAGCCCCCAAAGACGGGGTAGAATGAGAGACTTGCATGCATGCGTTACAGAATAGCCTACATGGAAGCAAAGCGCGCCTGCGCTCGAAGCAAGCGAGGTCCTTTGTTTTTTTGTTTCTCTGCCGTTTCCTTTTTACCCTATTTTCTTATTCTGGGGCGCGCTTCTATTCTCCGGGACAGCTTCATCGAGAACCAAAGGGGAGGAGGGAACAGGGGAGGGGACAAGGGAACAGCGAAGAGGGATGGCAGCGCGCGCGTTTAGAAACGAACACCCCTCCCCGGGACCGGCTTAGTTTAGTTGGCTGGGGTAGCATCGCGGCAGAATCAAATTGATCGCACGCACGCACACAGCCAGGGCTATATCTCGAAAATATGCATATGGAATGCTCTTATCCTTGAAGCCTTTTGCTGTAGTCTGCTCGCTTCCGCCCTTCTTTGCTCGTTTGTGGGCGGTGGGCGGTGGTGGTACTGGTGGTACTGGTGGATGTAATAAGGAAGGAAGCGGCTTCCGTCCAAACTGCGGCTAGATTGACCAATCATGAGCGGCCGGAAGCTCGAGACGAAACGAAGGCGGGTGGCGATGCGAGCGGCTCCCTGAAGATCCGGCCGAGCGCTGCCTTTTGGCTCGCTTGCTTTCGATGAATGCTATTGGCTTACACCGACGCTGGACGATGAGAACCTTGCAAGGAATTCTCATCGGGGAACGTTAGACGCCAGGAGGCAAGGGGTTGGAATGAAATTGGCAAGGGGTGGGTTTTTGTGCAATTACAGGTGAATGGGAGGCGGCCGTTGGAAACGCGCACATGGGGAGGGTCGCTATTTTGGGCCATCGGGTTATTTTCTTGTCCTCTTGCCCTTGCAAATCGGGCCTCGCCCTCATCCCTGGGACGAACGATGAGCAGGTTTCACTGGGCGAATTAAACGCTAGTATGGTGCGTGGGAACCCAGTATTTTGGGATCGGTGGATTCTCGCTGGGTCAACAGGCGCCAAATTAAGAAGGGGGACGCAAAGGGGGGCGTTTAAGCAAGGTGGATATGGGTGTTTTCAAGGGAAGAGTGGAGGATAATCTTAGGAGAGTTTTAATTCATTGATGCGATGAATGGGCTTGAGGCTGGCAGGTTTGATTTTCTCCTATCAATGGAATTGACCCATTGCGTTGGACCGATGGATGGTGGGTGGATCAATGGTGTGGATGCACTTCAACTTTCCGATCGGTGTTGCTTGAGAATGGACTGGATGCTGACAAGGGCCTGGTCGAGCCTCTGCGCTTGCTGAAACGGCTGGCTGACTACGTGGATTCTCATGGGCGCTTCGCCATACACATACCGAGCCGTTCTCTGGTCCAAGCTGAGGCGAAGTGAAGCGGAAGCGGCAGCCGGCAAACACTCTGCACCTGGGGGACCGATGAACAGCGAACGGCTTGACTTGCATCCACATCCGAGTTTCCACAACCTTCAAAAAATCTTGAACAAGGAGATGAGAAGGTCCCCCAGTCCTTCGAATACCATGCCATCTCGGATACGGGAATTTTTATTCTGGCATACATCGACCGACCGCCGGGGACAGGTCAATGTATCTCGAGGTGCCCTCTTGGGGCGTCAACCTAGCGTACAAGTAGAGTTTTGCAAATGCGGGCCAAGAGGGAGGGGATGGGGGTGTGGTCCATTCGATACCAACGATCGCATTGGCCCTGAGATATCTAGAAACTCTCGAATTGAAAAAAGGCAGAGCCAAAGATTTCGCAAGGGTATACGGGTTGCGTCACTCGAATTTTTCTCTCTCGAAATTCGCTTATTTGCTTATGTCGCGACTGGGGATTGGAGGCTTGGCCGAAGTGGGTGGGTGACCAAGAATCTCGCGATGCTCCGACGAGTGCAGCGGAATCTTACACCGGATTGGACTCTAGGAAGCCTCAAGTGGGAAAGGAAAAATTATCTTCCCATCGGGC